AGAGTTCGAATCCCAGCTCAGCCATGGAAACCCACTGGGTGACCTTGGGCAAGTCACACCCTCTCAGCCTCAGAGGAGGACAATGACACAGCCAAGAAACTTGCCAAGAAAACCCCATGATAGGTTCGTGTAAGGGTCGCCATAAGTCAGAAACGACTCGAAAGCACACAACAACAGCAACAAAAACATTATGATTTAAACTGTAATAAATATTACCATTAAATATACACATATATGAGAATGATGATGTAGGATCTTGACCATACAAAGTCTTGAAAGTGTGGTTCTCTAGAGCCTCTTCTGTTGAACTCCAAATGTAATCCAGCTTTTGTAACCAATTTCTGGGCTCCTGTAAAGGTTATGGCAGGTGGGAGACCCTCATTCATCCTGCTCTGACCTGTATGGATTAAAGGGGGGATTGGAGGGAATCTTCCTCCAGATCCTGGAACAATCTGGAGTGACGTCCCTGAGGATTTCTCTAAGGGGGAAAGAACGCATGGGTTTTAAAGGCCATCTGGAGTTAGCATTAGTCAAAGATTCTGCAAAGAGGCCACAATCTGGCCTGGAACTCTTCAAGAGAAGTGGATTTTGTAGGCCACTGAGCTCAAAATGCAAAATGCAAAATGCAATACACAGAAGACAAAAAAATAAAATAAAAGTAAGAAATGGATGATTCTTAACAGGGAGTTTAGATAGCAGATATCTTCAAATGTTCCAGTTTGGCAGAGACAGTACCGATTAATCATCATCCCACTTTTTCCGCTGCTTTTAAGGTGTCTCAGGACGTTATCACACGGGGAGTCGCGAGTAGAAAGTGGAAATAAACGGGCACGAGCAGAAGTCTTTAATTTACGGGATTTGTCCCGTTCCGCCTCGTCTGATAACTAAATTTGAATTTAAAAGGGGATTAATTCGAACGAAAACCTGATCTTTTCATTTTTGGGATTTTTCAGGATTTGAAAAGATCAGGTTTTTGTTTAAATTAACCCCCTTTTAAATTCGAATTTAGTTATTAGACGAGGCGGAACGGGACAAATCCCGTAAATTAAAGTCTTCCGCTCGTCCCGTTTATTTCCACTTTCTCCCTGCAACTCCCCATGTGATAACGTCCTCAGTATCCAGCCACACTGCAGATGTAAAGCGGTTTGACACCACTTTAATTGTAATGGCTTCATCCTGTGGAATCCAGGGATTTGTAGTTTGGTGAGGCATTCAGCTTGGTCTGTCAGAGAGTGCTGGTGCCTCAACAAACTACAAATCCCAGGATTCCATAGGATAGAATCATGGCCGTTAAAGTGGTGTCAAACTGCTTTGTGACACACCCTCCATTTCTTTCTCCTTTTTCCATTCCCCCCTTTATCTTCAGATTATTTCAGTTGCTGCAAACTGAGCTCAAAGTGCAAGAGTAGGTCTCACTCCATAAACTCAGCCGAAATGTGGGGAGAAAAGCAGTCTTCCCTGTAGGCTCAGGCAAAAGCAAGCTGCTGCTGCCTCTCCTAACTTGTGTGTTCCTTCTCATTAATAATGGTTGTCATCTTGATGTTGCTTGGCCACACATGTCCTGATTTTCTTCTGTGAAATGTTGATAGATATGGAGTGTCATTGTTGTGTCATCATTATTTGAGTCCAGATTGAATCTACGGCCATTAAACACTCCGCAGGAGTGTGTTCCACAGTTGAACAGCTCTCACTGCCAGGAAGTTCCTCCTAATGTTGAGGTGGA